AATGTACATCGTCTTAACCTTTGAAAGTCATCAATGACCTAACGAATAGCCAATGGAAATGCGTAATATCGTCTTGTGATGCTGGATAAGCCAATCAAGTTAACGCAGATTTTCGTATCACTTTTTCGTATCACACTCCGCTCCGTGCAGTGTGATGCGAGAAATATCTAATCTATTCATGCAAGAAATAGATAACATGCCACAACCATAAGAGAATACTTGTTATTTGATATATATATATATACTTTAGAATCCTTTTAAATTTTGATGAATAACATTCTTGTACCCAATCACACAAATGAGTCAAATAATCCATTTGATATCAATTTATTCTCATGACCAATCAGGTATGGATCCTGAAAAGTTGTTATACACCAAATGTGTTTGCCTTTTAAGTAATTATTTCCACTTTGTAAAATTTACTGGTAACTTTAAATCGAAAATCAATTTTTTCTGCACAATAAATTAATATCCTGTTTCAACATGGTCAAAAGTTTAATAATGAAAAAACATTTAGGTCAATTAATGTTTTTTCCTGAATTTGAGTTCCTTATTATGAGGGTTGTACACATATCAAAAGATATATATATCTAGCATGAATTTTTTTGTTTCATTGAATATTTTAAAGTATATATAAGCTTTATTAAGGGGCATTAGCTGTCAAATTCATGTTCAATGATTTGACTCAAATTCTCATATTAGATTTATAACATACTTAAACGCATATCCAAACTACAATAAAATGCTCCGCTGGGCACAGCTTGATACGACTGCAGAGGTCGAACCCTGAACAGTTGGGGCAAGTATGGACACAACATTCAAGCTTGATACAGCACTGAATTTGGATTGTGATTAAATATTTGACACAGCATAGGTTTCTGACACAGAATGAATGTGGTCTAAGAACTTTAAAATTTTTAATTTACCTATTCAAACCATATCATTTTTATTTGCTTTTATATATAAATCAGAAATAACCAATTTAAAATGGAAAATTTTAAAGAAAAAAAGTGGAAAAAAATCCCCCCTCAAATTTTTTTAACCCCCTTATGATTTATCACCCCCAAACTCAATCCCAGCCTTCCCTTTGTGCTATAATGTATGGTGCCTTGCAGTACAATTTCAGAGCGATCCGTTCACTTGAACACAAGTTATTGTCTGGAAACTAGAAAAATGCTTGTTTTTTTGTCCCTATTTGGCCCCAAATTCCTAAACGTTTAGGGCAATCACCCCCAAAACTCAAACCCAGCTTTCCCTTTGTGATATGGAACCTTGTACAATTTCATAAAGATCCATACACTTACACACAAGTTATTGTCCTGAAACTAGAAAAATGCTGGTTTTTTTGCCACTTTTTGGCCCCTTATTCCTAAAATTTTGAGGCAATTACCCCCAAAGTCAATCCCAGCCTTCCCTTTGTGGTATGGTACCTTGCAGTACAATTTCAGAGAGATCCATACACTTGAACACAAGTTATTGTCTGGAAACTAGAAAAATGCTTATTTTTGGCCCCTTTATCCTAAACGTTTTGGGCAATTACCCCCAAACTCAATTCCAGCTTTCCCTTTGTGATATGGAACCTTGTAGTACAATTTCAAAAAGATCCATACACTTACACACAAGTTATTGTCATGAAACTAGAAAAATGCTTGTTTTTTGCCCCTTTTTTGGCCCCTAATTCCTAAAATTTTGAGGCAATTACCTCCAAAATCAATCCCAGCATTCCCTTTGTGATATGGAACCTTGTGGTACAATGTCAGAGAGATCCATACACTAACACACAAGTTATGTCTGGAAGTTACAAAAATGCTTATTTTTGGCCCCTTTTTGGCCCCTAATTGCTTAACTGTTGGTACCATAACCCCCTAAATCAATCCTAACCTTCCTTTTGTGGTATTGAACCTTGTGGTAAAATTTCATAGATATCTATTCACTTAAACTAAAGTTAGAGTGCGAAAACCAATGTGTCTTCGGACGACGACGACACCAGACGAGGACGACACCAACGTCATACCAATATACGACCACAAAAATTTGTTTGCGGTCGTATAAAAAGTCTAAAATAAACTATTAACAATGCATGGACTTCATAATATGTATCAGTAGTTAATTTGTGTGTATTTTAGTCTAGACACCGTCTAATAAAACCATCAAAGATGACCTCTGAAGACTGCTAACGGCAATATAACCCAAAATAAACATGAATATAAATATAAATAGATATAGATAGTGAGCACATGCAATTGGATTTTTCTAGGACTTTTTGATTTCATGTTATAGGTTGAAATAATATGTAAATCATGATTTTCACCTGTATTAGAATGATTTTTTGTGGATCGAATCAGTCAACAAAATGGTTCACCTTTGTTTCCATTTCAATGTTGACATTCTTTTCTTTTAAATAGCTGAGCATGCCTAATAACATGCATAATTCATCTCCAGCTAAGACATGTAAGGGGTTAAATTAAAAGTCACATTTATCATGTTTATACAAGGTTGAATTATATCGACTTGCAAGTCAATAATACATCAGGTTAGGGTGAAGGTTGGCGCCTGTAAAAATGTTTAAACCCGGTGCATTTGTTTGCACCTGTCCTAAATCAGGAACCTGTTGTTCAGTGGTTGTCGTTTGTTGATGTGGTTCTAAAGTGTTTCCTGTTTCTCGTTTTTTATATAGATTAATTAGACCGTCGGTTTTAATTCCTGTTTGAATTGTTTTACACTAGTCATTTTGGGGCCCTTTATAGCTTGCTGTTCGGTGTGAGCCAAGGCTCTGTGTTGAAGGCCGTACTTTGACCTATAATGGTTTACTTTTTACACAATTGTGACTTGGATGGAGAGTTGTCTCATTGGCACTCATACCACATCTTCTTATTTCTATCAGCTATATGTTCTTGAACTAATTTTGACAAGTTTGGCCCAAACTGACTGCTATAAAATATTATTTCAAAATTTCTCTTTTATTAATAATTGAAACAAAATGAATCGCATTTTAATTCTTTGTCTAAATCATTATCTAATGCCCTTTAAAAAAATATTAAATCTTGATAATTTAAACATGTTAAAAAGTGCTGTAACCTTAAAAATTGCTTAGACAGCAGCTAATTACATGGCAACTTTTCAAGCAAATTGAAATATAAAGTTAAATAGTTCATCAAAATGCATATCTGCTGGCATGAACTAGTTATTTCATTGTTAAGTATCATTGAAAATTTAACTTCAACAAAAATTGTTGTATAAAGTCAGAGACATATATATGTCTCTGATAAAGTCAATATTAAAAAAGCAACATAAAAACAAAAGATGGGGATATAATATCAATTTTTATCATATATCTATTTAAGACAAAATTTCTGGTTACGCTTGTTTTATACTCTATATTGATACAAAATGATCCAAATGCACCTCACTGGATGTTGGTATACATCTTATCACTATTTGTCCGCCATTAGGGGACGACCATTTGATATTCTGGGGGGGGGGGGGGGGGGGGGCAGGAGGATTTGTTTTGGATCGGTTATTTATTTTTGTAAACTAAGATGACAGATTATCTATTTTCTGCACTATTGAAGCAAGATTTTTCATTTTCATTAAAGCAAGGGACTGATTATTTATTTTCACAACTATATTTATATATTCGAAAACATACAATTTTTAAATTATTTGTTTATTATAAATAATTCATGTATAGTCAAGTCATTATGTACCATTTAATCAGAATTAATTATTATCCTCTGCAGAAATGAATCTCCTATATTCCCCAATGCATATACATGTATTGCATACATACACATACAGTATTAAAGTTTGTTTGTAACTAAGGCTCTTTAAAAAGTATTGGGAAACATGCTTTGCCGAGCGGAGCGAGGCAAAATTTTTTTTGAAGGGTTTTTGAACCGCTGAAGGCCCAAGAAGCTATAGAACAAATGATGCAAAATCATGCCTTCTGGGTGTTCCCCAGACCCTTTCTTAAACTGAAAATGCAAGTTCTGTTTTAATAATTTTATGACAATATTTTGGTCTCAAAGCAAAATCACGTTATAGATTCAGTGTAAGACTTAAGTTTCTAGGAACAACATCAAAAGACAAATATGCATGATAAAGCAAAAATGTAATTCACATAGTTAAGTCTGTGGCTGCTGTGTTGTTTTAAACTCATGATCAAGTTAATAATAAAATTACTAAATTACAAAATGAATGCAACACTAACAGAATACAGAAGGGCAATCAATGAACAAAAGACAAATAAATAAGAAACATTGATCCCGAAAAGTCAGGGGCTATGTCTGAGGGAGAACAGAACTTGCTTCTTGCAAGGCACTCACGGTGAACACAATTTGATATGGAGACAAGCGTTTGGTTTTGAAATTTCCTACATGAGGCATTTGTCTCAATGTAGTTACGGCCCTGATTTAATAGAAGTTGGGTAAGTGTTCCTGAGACAATTAACCTCAAGTTAAATGAAACCAATTTTCTGACATTTCAATAGATATAAGAAGATGTGGTATGAATGCCAATGAGACAACTCTCCATCTAAGTCAAAATTTATAAAAGTAAACCATTATAGGTCACAGCAAGTATATTTAAATAATATTTATACTTTTATTATTAATTTAAAAGATATGGGAAGTGTTTCTCGAATTTTTTTTGGAAAAAAGATGAATTTATGAAGAATCTGGTGCCATATCATACTTTCGATTAGACCTGCCAGAGACATATATTGTATTATATGTCTCTGGACCTGCTGAGTTATTTATTTTCAATACATTGCAAGTCAGGTAATTTATTTTCAAACTACCACAGAACAAACCATTTATTTTTGTGATTATCAAGGCTGAGTTATTTATTTTCAAAATCCTGTCCTGGATTGTTGTGTGACGTCAAAAGTTCGAGCGGGACTGATTCTCGGGTCGGGAATAGCGATAAGGTGTATTTGGACACATTATCAGGTATACCTACTTTAAGTGAGTTTCTTAATATTATATATATTATTTTACAACCTTTTTAACTTCTGATTATTCTTTTCTTTTGAAGGTTCGAAATGTACAGATCTACCTGAAAACCAATGCAAGAGATTCACTGTTGAATAATTGAGAATTTGTTGAAAATGGTTATAAAATGTGTTTGCCTAGAGTCGGATGCGTACATGGTTTGTTTGACACATGCTTTGTCAACAGAACGAGAGGAAGTAATGGGATTATTGATAGGCGAGGTAATTAACATCCATAAAATTCGAATAACTGATGTTTTGCTTTATTTCTCCAAACATTTGGAACAATTTCATAATTTGACAATAGTCATGCTTACTATTCATTTTTAACATATTTTAATTACTCATTTTTAAAAGTAGACTTTTTTGTGGACGTCGCATGGCGACGTTTCAGTGAATTTAATTTCTCCAGTGAATTATACACCATCTGTTGATGTATACTGTGAATGTTTTGTGTGCATTTAAATATATTTAGCTATGTTGAAAGACGTGCTTGATGTCAGTCAGGGGTACTACTTTTACAAGTATATATTTTACAATCTCTTCAGATCTTAAATGGAACAAACATATACAACAATCAGCAGCAAAAGCAAATCAATCTTTATCATTCGTCAGACGAAATCTAAAAATTAGTTCAAAATTAGCAAAGGAAAGAGCATATCAAACTATAGTACGTAAGACCAAAATTAGAATATTGCTGCACAGTTTGGGATGCACACACTTCAGAAAACATATACAGACTGGAACAAGTGCAAAGAAGAGCTGCACAATATACTTGCAACAGATTTCACAACACCAGCAGTGTATCTGAAATGCTTCAAAATCTAAACTGGCAAACCCTACAAGAACGCAGGCTAAAAACCAGACTTCAAATGTTCCACAAAGTTATAAACAATGAAATTGCAATACCATCGCAGGATATTCTTATAAAAAGCCAGTCCAAAACAAGATCTACCCATCAAAAAACATATGCAGACAACTCCATTGCAACAAAGAAAGTTTTAAATTCTCATTAGTCAGCCAAACAATTAAAGATTGGAATAAATTACCAACTGAAATTTCAAACCAAACCTCTACAGACAACTTTAAGGATGCACTTGCTCATGAAGTCCTCTTTAAAACATTTTCTCACTTAAATTAAATGTGCCTATTGTTTTTATCTTAACATGAAAAAAAATATATAAAAAATGTAAAAATTAAAAGTTAAATAAAAATCGTAAAGTTTATAAATAAAAGAAAAATTGAAATTAACTTTAAAGCAACCTCACTCAGGCATGCGCCGGAAAGTAATCTTCAAAATGTTGATGGTTTTCTGTACATAAAGAAGAAGAAGAAGTAATTTTTATTTACTTGAAGATTTCAAGAAGTAAATATTAATATACTTATATAAGTAAATTTATAAGATACTTATAAAAGTGTTTTTTATTTATTGTATACAGTATAGGTAAATTATTTTATTGGCTTAGTTATGAAAATCTCATTTGTCTGTTATCTTCAGAACCCTGCTCATTTACAAGCCCCCAAGGGGCAATTTTTGAAGGCCTTGCACAATTACAAGATCTTTGCGCAATTAGTTTCTTTGTTGAATTATTGAGATGAAACATCTCTAATAAAAATTATGAGCTATCCTGAGAAAAATTGTTACAGGCATGTTGTTACATCTCAAAACTTGAGAATTTTAGGGATTGTAAAAAAAAATTACTTATACATGTAAAAGTAAATTTTTTAGAAAATATAGGGGAGATTATTCAAACATTATAAGAAAAAATGAACATAACAAAATTTATTTATATAAGTATATTATTATTTACTTCTTCAAGTAAATAAAGATTACTTGTACAAGTAGTACCCCTGACTGAATGTCAAATCATAAAAATACAAATGGTTTAGTCTCTAAAAAAACTTTTAAGATTTCCGGTACACTTTTTGCTAAAAGGGCGCAATTTGGGTACTGTGACGTTAGTCATGTTAGTATCCAGTGATTTACTTCAAACATCAAAAACTTACAAAATACAGCTTCTTTCCTCGTACCATCAAAGACTTGATAAGCTTACATTGTACAAACAAAACTGTTAAAATTCGTTTAATACAAAGGCATTCAAAATCAGCCCCATATCTTATCTAACAGAACAGGCACGAAAAAAAACAGCATTATAAAGGGCCAGCTGAGCCTGAAGCCCACCTTTTGGTGCTGGATTTTCTTGATGCATTGAAGACCCATTGGTTTGTTTGTTTTCTGCTCTTTGGCTTTGGTTGGGCTGTTGTCTCTTTGCCACACTCCCTGTTTCCATTCTCTTTTCAAGCATAATTCTAGTGTGCAGATACATGTATGTAGAATGTTTTAAACAAGGACCATATTGATTGACTGTCTTAGGTATTACACACTTTGCATTGAAAAATAAAGATGTTATTGTTTATCTGTTCAACATGTTCAAGAGCTAAGGTAGCTAACAATCAAACGAGGGGAGTTTTTAACGACTTTGACTACCAAATGAGGGTCTTGCACGATCATTAAGCTGGGGTGTCTTCCTCCATCTTGGATTTTGAAATAGCAGATAACAATCGGTCTAGATCTTTAATGAAATGTGCAAATTTCGAGAGTAGTATGTAATTCATATTTAAGACTTTTCATGTTAATATAGAAAAATATGTGTTTTTTATCATATTTACGGCTGTATTTTACAGAAAAAACAGAATATTTTTGTTTGATTAATATTTTTTTCAACTTTGCCACATAAGGGGTGATAATTCAGATAAAGTAACTATTATAATAGAATATTTTGTGAATTTACCTATTTTTTTATGTAGCAAGAAAACGAGTCAGGTGACCCCATTTTTTCTTTTTCTTATCTGAAATCATATTAATAGAGCTATCTTCTCATATTTTATCTTTAAATTCTATGGTGTAGTTTTCTTTTTTATCACACAAAATTAGGTTTTCCATGCATAACCTATACAAAATCTGACAATTTTGCACATCCTGTAGCGTGACTGTAGTGTGAAAAAAAAAGCCCTGTGACCAATACTTTTATTATACTTTTGAAAAAGGCATGATATAAACTACATATTGACAAATTATAAAAAAATTCTATGGATTTTAATTTAGATTGGGCTGACCACTGAGTTTAGCAATTCATCAATTTTGAGAGAGTTGTTTCTTCCTGATATTTATAAAGATGACAGCTACCCATGGAAAACAGTATTACTTATTTTCTATAATTGAATTAATGAAATTATTTTGATTTATATTACTGAGGGAATCATTTGTGCAATTCAGTGGTTGTCGTTTGTAGCTGTATATCATATTTGTTTTTCGTTCATTATTTTGTACATAAATCAGGCCCCTAGTTTTCTCGTTTGAATTGTTTTACATGTGTCCTTTAGGGGCCTTTAATAGCTGACTATGCGGTATGGGTTTTACTCATTGTTGAAGGCCTTACGGAGAGCTATAGTTGTAAATTTCTAAGTCATTTGGTCTCTTGTGGAGAGTTGTCTCATTGGCATTCATACCACATCTTCTTATTCTTATATATAATAACCCATTTGGTACATATATATAATAGCCTAAATGGGACATAAATTTATAATGTAAAAAAAAAAAATTTTTGGTAACAAAGCTAGTCATTTTTTTGTACCAAATATTACCAGTTCATACCCCAAATTACCATTTCATACCATAAATTAACCATTCCTTACCATGAACAAAGACCATTTGTTATCATATGGGCCAACTGCATACATTTCTATGTCATTTCGTACTATACAGATCTATTTCAATTTTCATACTATATTTCTTGTAAATCCTTAAACTTTGTACCAACATTGGTTTATGGGACTTTTTTGGCTCATGAAGGTGTTTTGTATTTAATTTATTACCCATCCAGTCAAAGAGGTAATATATTGATGACACATAGCTGTGAGGGTGATAGAGCACATTTCTACCAAGATTAAACATTGTTAACTTAGGCAAAGCCTAGGTTGACAATGATTTTTCGAGAGTAACAATCTGCTCTATCACCATCTCAGCTATGAGTTACTTAATTCATCATACAGAATGTTCTGCTATTACTGTCATTTAAATTTGAATTGAAAGTAATCAGCTATGATGTCATGTACATAACAACCACCCATATTTAATAATGCCACAAAAATGATCAAGCACCTCTGTAAAGGGTAATAGAATACAAACCATGGGATAATATTAGTTACATAATGTGCTAGTGAACTAATACAATATAAATCATATTAGGTCACTAGCAAACTGTGTAACAAAGTTATCTTACTGACTATCTTAACATGTGGTATTTAGACTAGTGGCATATCAAAGTGATCAAGAATTCAATATTAAGAACAATAACAACTTGTTAGCTTGTAATGTGCTTTATGAATTTATTTCAATCATTCATCATCAATTTCTTCGTCTGTTGAAACTTTCCAGATTTTTCCTCAACACTGTGTTGTTTTTACAAAGGGACGTAACACCACTACTAACCGTGTATTGAAATAAACCTTGCCTACTTACCCCATATGAAATATACACGGTCTCCATGCAGTTGCTTTTAACCAATCATATTCCTAGAAATGTATAGGAGGTAAGATAAAGTAGAATGTCTCCCTCCTATTAGCCAATAAAAATCTGGTATTTTAGTGTGAAGTATAATAACCCATTTTATTTAGTATTTTAGGATGGATTACAATGGATTATTTTTTCTTTCATAACTTAAGCAGTTGCAACATATATGTGTAAATAGAATTTTTGTTCTACTAATAGTACAAATGTAGTAAAAATGGTCTAATGAATATATGTATATCTTTACAGTATATTAGTTCTTTTTCAATACTCATTTGAAAACTGTATATGAAACAGAGTATGAAATAATGATTGCATTAAATATCTCCATGATAACTTTACACCTTCACATTTGATGGTTGCACCATTGACCAGTTCTTAATCTTTCTTATTAAGTCTCCCAAACGAAGTTTGGGAAGACTTATTGTTTTTGCTCAGTTCTTATTATTATTATTATTCTTCTTCTTCTTCCGCCTCTTTTAAATTTGAACTTGTC